CGGGGCCGGGAAGGGCGGCTGAGGGGCCGAGGAAGGGCGGCAGGGCCGCGAAGGGCGGCGACGGGGCCGCAAGGGGCGGCGACGGGGCCGCTGAAGGGCGGCGACGAGGCCGCGAAAGGGCGGTGACGGGGCCGCGGAAGGGCGGCAGTGGGGCCGCTGAAGGGCGGCGTCGAGGCCGCCGAAAGGGGCGGCGACGAGGCGGAGTAGGGGCGGCGACGGGGCCGCGGAAAGGGGCGGCGACGGGGCCACGGAAAGGGGCGGCGACGGGGCCGCTGAAGGGCGGCGACGGGGCCGTTGAAGGGCGGCGACGGGGCCGTAGAACGAGAATGAATGACTAAGGAATGAAAGTGATACAAATATGAAACCCTAGAATTGTGTACGCCTTAGTATCTAACCCGCTACAGCCTACACAGGCTAGATCATATATGTTTGACAGCCTCTGACTCTTGCACAACGCTAGCGCCGATGCTTTTCTGGTAGACTTCATGTAGAAACCGTATTTATGCACTACCGCATCATCAAGCAAGGCAAAGAGGCAATGATCCTGCGAGGAGTACCAGTTACCCTCCTGAATGGCAGCGTTGTCATTGATAGTAGGCCCCTCCTCGGGTTCAAACTCTATGTCGAACTGCTCCAGGATAATGTTATACATGTCACGGCCATTAGCCGGAGGTTCCTCCATTGTGGATCTGATACAACACCTAGGTTATCCACGCGCAATTTGTAGATGATCATCCGCTGCCCGGGTTTTTTAACGGCGAGACGCGAGCACATGATTACGCCATGTAGAACTGCATCTGGTGTTGGAGTATGATGGACTCGGAATCCCTGACACTTCGTACAACAGCTAGGAACAACAACAATTCACTTGTCAGTCCCAGGTGGCATAATCCTGGCAGTGGTTGCCACCGGTGCGTATCGTCAGAAATCGCGGCGAATGAATTGTGTTATGATCGCTGGCGCGTTTATTACCAGATTCTGAACAAATTATACCCAATCAAGCCCAGACGAGTGGCATGTATATGTAAAAGTGGCGCGATAATTGGAAATATGAACGGACCGTTCAGAAACTCGCGAATCCGCCGCCAACACAACGATTCGCATGCATTCTTGCATGACGTGTCTGTCGCAAGTACTCGCACGTGGAAGCTAGTTCAGAACGACAGAGTTCATAACGACAACAATTCACTTGTCAGTCCCAGGTGGCATAATCCTGGCAGTGGTTGCCACCGGTGCGTATCGTCAGAAATCGCGGCGAATGAATTGTCTTATGATCGTTGGCGCGTTTATTACCAGATTCTGAACACATTATACCCAATCAAGCCCAGACGAGTGGCATGTATATGTAAAAGTGGCGCGAAAATTGGAAATATGAACGGACCGTTCAGAAACTCGCGTAGCCGCCGCCAACACAACGATTCGCATGCATTTGTCAGATTTATATGACTTAGCTGCTGTAGGCTATAGTGGGGTAGCACATATGGGGTACAGCTTTCTAGGGTTTGTACTTGTACCCAACTTTCCCTTAGTCTTTTCATTCCTCGTTCATTTTCACATGGTATCAGAGCACATACGCTCCTGGCCTGTGGGCCCTCCTACTGCTTCCGCTGCCCCGTGGTGCGCAGCCTGAGCGCGCGGCGGTTTTCTGCCCGGCACGTACCGGATGTCTCTCCGTCCGTCCACTGCTCCTCTGCGTGCCCCTTTGCCTTCTCCTCCTGAGTCCTCTCTTCCTGCTCTTGCTGACCCGGAGTCGGACTCCCTTCGTGCTGCCAGTCCGACTGTCACGCGTGTCCTTGCTACTGTTGTTACTGACCCTTCCTTTGAGTCCACTGCTGCGTCTGCCCTAGTTGCTGAGCTCGTCGACTTTGCTGCTCGCTGTCGTCTAGACTACGCTGCTAGTCTTGTTGCTGCGTCTGAGTCTGTCTGTCCTCCGTCCGTCGGGGGTGAGTGTGCCCTTGGCACGGACGTCCTTGAGGACAGACAGGAGGAGTTCCAGTGTTTGGCTGCTGCTTCACCTCATCTCGTGTCCGTACTGCTTACCCCTGAGGGAGACCCGGATGCACTTGACATCCCGACTCCGCGCTCTTACGCGGAGGCGATAGAGGGTCCCTACTCCTCTCAGTGGCAGGCAGCTATGGACGCAGAGATGGCTTCCTGGAAGTCCACAGTCACCTACGTTGACGAGGCTCCCCCGCCTGGGGCGAACATCGTTAGTGGCATGTGGATTTTCAGGGTGAAGCGGCCGCCGGGTTCTCCGCCTGTCTTCAAGGCGCGTTACGTGGCTCGTGGCTTCAGTCAGCGGCAGGGAGTTGACTACTTTCAGACCTTCTCTCCCACCCCGAAGTTGACCACTCTTCGGGTACTGCTGCACATAGCTGCTCACCGTGACTACGAGCTACACTCTCTTGACTTCAGCACTGCTTTCTTGCAGGGCAGCCTGCACGAGGAGATCTGGCTGCGCCGCCCACTTGGCTTCACTGGGACTTTTCCTCCTGGCACCCTGTGGAGCCTCCGGCGGCCAGTCTACGGTCTCCGCCAGGCACCGCGTGAGTGGCACGACACACTGAGGACTACGCTTGCGGCTCTTGGGTTTGCTCCCTCTACTGCCGACCCGTCGCTGTTTCTGCGCACCGACACTTCTTTGCCGCCGTTCTACATCCTCGTGTACGTCGACGACTTGGTCTTTGCCACAGCTGACACTGCTGGACTCGCCCACGCGAAGTCCGAGCTGCAGAAGAGACACACGTGCACAGACCTGGGTGAACTGCGCAGCTACCTTGGCTTGCAGATCACCCGGGACAGAGCACGCCGCACCATTACCCTGACTCAGTCACACATGGTGCAGCAGGTCCTTCAGCGCTTCGGCTTCACGTACTCCTCGCCTCAGGCCACTCCTCTGCCTACTCGCCACTCGCTCTCAGCTCTGCCTTCGGATGAGTCCGTAGAGTCGAGTGGCCCGTACCCAGAGCTTGTTGGCTGCCTCATGTACCTGATGACCTGCACTCGACCTGACCTTGCATACCCTCTTAGCATTCTCGCACGCTATGTTGCTCCTGGGAGACACAGACCGGAGCACATGGCTGCAGCGAAGAGGGTGTTGCGCTACTTGTGTAGTACGTCGGGCATGGGGCTTGTGCTTGGAGGGCAGAGTCCAGTGGTCCTCACTGGGCACGCAGACGCTTCTTGGGCTGACGACCAGGCTACGCAGCGGTCGTCACAGGGTTACACCTTCAGCCTTGGTTCCGGCTCTGTCTCGTGGCGGGCTACCCGCTCGTCTTCTGTTCTCGGCTCCAGTTGTGAGGCTGAGATCTACGCAGGGGCCATGGCTGCACAGGAGCTTCGCTGGCTCACCTACCTGCTGACTGACCTCGGAGAGCCGCCTCGTTCTCCTCCAGTGCTGTACGTAGACAACAAGGCCATGCTGGCCTTGTGTCGGGAGCAGAGACTGGAGCACAGAACGAAGCACATTGCTCTTCGCTACTTCCTTGCTCGTGAGCTACAGCAGCGTGGTCAGCTACGCCTTGCGTACGTGGCCTCTCAGGCCAACACTGCTGATATCTTCACCAAGGCACTTGCGCCTTGTGATCATCAGCGCTTCTGTACTCAGCTGGGTCTTGTGCCTACCTTGCCTCACTTGCTCACCCCTTGACCTTGTTTGTACTGTTACATATATATATACACCTGCTCTTGCTTGTTTAGCCTTATATATATATGTAATCCTGCATGTGAACTGGCCTTGTGGCCTTGAACTTGTGCTCGGAATGTGTGGTGACGTTGTGATCCACCCTGAGCTTGCTTTGCTTTGCTTGACTGGTCTTGTGACCCCTTGTCCTCCCCCACTTTGCCTATGGGGGTGTGTCAGATTTATATGACTTAGCTGCTGTAGGCTATAGTGGGGTAGCACATATGGGGTACAGCTTTCTAGGGTTTGTACTTGTACCCAACTTTCCCTTAGTCTTTTCATTCCTCGTTCATTTTCACAGCATTCTTGCATGACGTGTCTGTCGCAAGTCCTCGCACGTGGAAGCTAGTTCAGAACGAAGAATTCAACCGAGTCGCCCGACAGATGAAGTTGTGTAGCGCAGGTTCACGGTAACGTCTATGTAGATGCGCTTGGCACGCCCGAAAGAATGGTTAAAACACGGGCCAGTGTTGTGTCGCCACGTTCAACCCCACAAGCCTCCATTCCCCCACTGTTTTGAACCGAAACTGATTGCCGAACTTGGACGCGCCACACGTTCGCCGAACCGACTTCCACACTGTCAGGAGAGAAATGCCCAATAGGATGATACTGCGTGGCAGGGAAGTTCGATGTCAACCAGCGAACTGCCCACCGACAATTTGGAACCCACAAAAAAAAAAACCCTCATAATGGTTAAATGAAGCTAAATCTGGGGAGCGCGTACCGCTCGCGATAGAAGGTGGATGGTGTGTCTTTCGGGTTGTGTAAAAATTTGAGCGCGATGAAAAAAATTCACGAAGGCCAAGCCCGCGCTGCGGCAATTCTCTCCACAATCACACACCCAAGGTCGAACACAGAGATTCTACCTTTTAGAGAAGGCGGGGAGCCGGCCGTAGGGAGCGTAGGTTACCTGCTACAGCGCGACACGTCAAAGTAATGCGCAAAGAATCTCCGCGACCTTCGCAAGGCAGTCATGCTTTTCGCATGGCTTTCGCAAGTGCTGAAAACAACACACACTCGCCTCACGTGCACCCTCACGTTCATCCGTGTGATTCAAGTTGAGTTCACATTTGACATTCGCACTTGCGTGCCCCCAAAATTCTCATGCCTTCGCCAAAGCTTCTTGACGACATTGACAAGCTGGTAACCACTCAAAGTTCGACCTTTTTTCCGAACTTGAAAATAGATCACACGCGCCCCAAAGATACTAGACGCAAATAAGCCCAGCTGCCTCGTCCGCGGAGTAGGCTTCACCTACGAGAATAGCTCTGCCTCAGCAGCAGGTGGCGCTTCCATTCCCTCCCGGAGGTAGATTCTCATGGCTACCAGAACTTTCGTCGCAGCGACACGGTCTTCGGGGCTGCAGCGGCTTCTCGCACCATTTGTGAACCCTAGTGCGCGGACCGAGTGCCACTTTTCCGCGTCGTGGGTGAAGTCGTCGATCCCCTTGGGCGCTCCCCCCGCCGGTGGGCACTTCTCGCTTGCGCAGACCCGCCTGTACACCGCTGCAGCGGACGATTCTGCTGAAGAAGGCAGCACGTCTGCTTCGCCGCCCGAGGCAGCTTTGGGTAATGAGACACGAAGAATCCGGGTTGGAACATTTCGCATTGCCCGTTTTACAAGCAGAAACCGTATTGGCGCACTAATTGGGTTACAGCAGAAACCGGGAGGGCGAGAATTGGGTTAGAGCAAAAACCGGAAGGGCGAGAATCGGGTTAGAACAATAGAACCGCATGCTGGAAAAACCAGGTCGCTAGAACTCTGCCACCTTGTAGTAACTCTGAAGTGCTCCGTGGCCATTGTGGGTAAGGGTGAATTTGCACGGTCTTTTTTTTTCGACTTTCAAGCAGGAGGTGCTGCTTCTGTCTGATCCTTTCTACAATGGATGGTTCTCTCCCATTACTTCATTGCAGCTGGTGCATTGTGCCGCCCTGTAGTCTACACGTCATAAGACATTTACTCTGGCAGCTCGCCATTCCGTTGCCTTGGAGCAGTTAGTACCCGCGTCCATGCATGTGCCCGCACATTCGGTTCTTTTGTTCTCTCTCTCTCTCTCTTTCTCTCTCTCTCTCTCTCACTCGCTCTCTCCCCCTCTCCCACCCCCACTCCCCCCCTCTCCCCCCTCCCTTCCTCCCCCTCTTACCCTCTCTCGGCCAGTCTATATATTTGTACCTCTATCTATCTCTGCGTATCTCTCCCTATGCGTATCTCTACGTTTCTCCACACCACAATCTCACTGCACTTCTACTTCGTTCTTCCTCGTTTTTCTCTCCTCCATGCCTCTCAGACCCAATATCAGTGAGCGACTTTGTTCGTGCTGTAGGGGGAGGGGTGGAGGCCAATGCGGACAAGGTGGCTGCCGAAATCTCGTCATTGCCGCAACTGCTTTCAACCCGATCAGGACGGCTGAAAAAGATTGGCTTGCCTTGTCAACAGGTCAGTTTTTATCCTAGAGCATCACTGTATGCCAGTGGACAAGATCTATGTTGCCTATCGTTCAAGCGTGCAATCATTCATTCAATCCATTTTTTTGTTCCCGGTTCCTATGCTTCTTGGTTTTGGTGGTATTTTGTGTTTTCAGAGAAAACGACTTCTGAGCTATTTGGAGAAGTACAAGCAATGTGAATGGGCTCCTTCAGCATAGAAATCTAATTTTGACTATATCTAGGGATATTGGCCTTCAGAACGTAATTGTTTTAATACAGTCTTAGATCGTGCAATAATGTCGAGTTGCCTCTATCAAGGATTTCATTCCTCTCTCCGGAATGAACGGCTTTTTCTGTCAGTAGCGCGCCGAGCTGTTTGAACCACGGTGGACCAGATTGCTTGGATCAGCGCTCCGTGCTCCTCTTGGTTTGGATCTCCTCACTCGGGGGAATCTGACAATCACTGGCCTGCTCCAGCTTCAGCTCCTTCCTGAGTTGCTTCTTTTTCTGGTTCTGTGAAAATCAACACATCTGGTCGGCAAACTTTTGCACTTGCACATAGCAGCGATAGTCGATTAGGAGAAGTAACTTTCCTTGGCTCAGTAAAAATCGCCAGCCATGAATATCTTTAGGCTTGCGGGTGACATGACGCACCTGCTGAGTGTTGTCGTCCTCCTCTTGAAGATCATCACGATGAAGTCGTGCGCAGGTAAGTGTTGTACTCATCGTTAGTGGTGGCACGAAGAGGTGGACTGGTTCTCATGGTCCGTATCCGCGTTCTCTTCGGGTGCTCGTGTGATTCGCTGTTATGGGGAACAGGAATATCGCTGAAGACGCAAGAGCTATACGTGATGGTTTTCGTGACCAGATATTTAGACCTCTTCTACGCTTTCGTATCGGTCTACAATTCCGTTATGAAAGTGATCTTTCTGGCGAGCTCGTTCGCGATCGTCTACTACATGCGCTACGACAAGATCGTGAAGCACAAGTACGACAAGGAGCATGACACATTCAGACACGTCTTCCTCGTTATTCCATGCCTTGTGTTGGCGTTGCTGGTCAATAGGAAATTCACCGTTACTGAGGTAAGCGCATTTGCCCTCCCTCGTGACGACTTCGGACGGTTCAGTTGCTTCGAATTTCTGGGTAGCCCCCGTTTTTCCCTAGGAATGGTGAATCCTGTGGTCTAACCCTAGCCGCGATGGTAACAGGTTTTGTGGACGTTCTCCATTTACCTCGAGGCTGTGGCGATAATGCCTCAGCTCGTGCTTCTTCAGCGGACCAAGAACATTGACAACCTGACAGGGAACTACGTCTTCTTTCTGGGGTACGTGCGTGTTCTTTCTGGGGTACGTGCGTGTTCTTTCTGGGGTACGTACGCGCTCTTTCTGGGGTACGTACGCGTTATTTCTGGGGTACGTACGCGTTTTTTCTGGGTACGTACGCGTTCTTTCTGGGGTACGTACGCGTTCTTTCTGGGGTACGTACGCGTTCTTTCAGGGGTACGTACGCGTTCTGTCTGGGGTACGTACGCGTTTTTTCTAGAGTACGTACGCGTTCTTTCTGAGGTACGTACGCGTTCTTTTTGGGGTACGTATGCGTTCTTTCTGGGTACGCCAGGAACCCGTTTGCGTCTGCACAAAAGGAAGGGTGTGGTCCAGAGACAGCCATTGATTCATTCATCTTGTGTGTTTTGCATTCTTCAATTTCCAGCGCATATCGAGGTTTCTACATACTAAACTGGATTTATCGATACATTACTGAGCCACACTACAAGCAATGGATCGGTGAGCCCTCTACTTCCATCTCCATGCATGCTTTTGCTTTTACAACGCTTACTACTATTTTTATGGCTCATGACCATGTGTCCCGTTACGGGCTACTCTGTCATATCCCCATTTGAACTGCCAGTTTGGATATCTGGATTGGTCCAGACAGCACTATATGCGGACTTCTTTTACTACTACATCATCAGGTCAGTCTTCACCGGTCATTTTAGAATAGAGATTTGCAAATAGCAGTGGCGCTTTACTAATTATTGTCTTGTACCTCTGTTATGCAGTTGGAAGAACAACAAACGGTTGAGTTTGCCTGCGTAAACGGCAAATTGTACAACAAATCTCCAACAAATACCCCTAGAGAACCAACTTCTTTGGTCTGCTTGCATTTGGCAAGTGCACTAGCTACAAGCAGAGTTAGTTCTTGTAGTACAAGGCTGTAGCTTGGCCTGAGGGCCAAGTGCTCACTGCTCAGAATCCAACTTAGCATTTTCTGTTAGGAGGTAAATACTAGTGCAGCAGGAGGTGTAGAGCATAGTTGCAGCAGGACTGATAACCTAACCTTTGTCTTGATGGTAGACACACTGATTGGAGCTGCTAAACAAGATTTGGTGTAGTATAGGTACTGCAACACATTGTGGAGCCATGCAAAAACACCTCTGCAGGTCCTGGTGCAAGCTCCACAGCGCTATCATGCTACTTGTGTGGGAACATCTTTCACTTAAGGTATGAAAATTGTTGTCAGCTAGAGCACAACTCATCAATTTAGGAGCTGGCAATGAGTGGCAATGAGTGGCAAAGCTGGATTCTAGCACCAGCAGAGGACAGGACAGCAGCATCAATGCAAGGCATTTCACTAAACTGCTTCAAAAAGCAGGAGCAGGTTTGTCAGAGTAGCTGAGAGCGTGGATCACGTGCTGGAGAGACGGAAGTGACTCAGCAATTGGTGCTGAGGAGAGGTTGTGAAAGATGGGGCAGTCATAATCGATGGAGGGAACGAGCCATGGAGAGACAGCAGCTATGAAGGAGTCCACGTGCGGGGAGAGGATAGCCTCCCAGTCAACCTGCAGAAAGAAGGGGACAAGGGGGTGACGAGAAGGTGCTTTTAGTGAAAGAGAAGTTTAATGGGACGCTAATCTCACTTGAATGTGTGCGGGTGAGTTCGCCACTCATGATATCAGCCCATCTCTTTTCCCCACGAGTCTCACTCCTATCCATGCGTCTCACTCGTTATATCCATGAGTCTCACTCATACTGCTTTGTATCCGTATAACTGTGCCCCACCTGAAATCCCCGTGGTGCATTTGCTGTGACCTGCATGTCCGCTGCCAGGAACAGCCCCAGCATGGTGACATACCCCACCATGGCCGTGCCGCGGGTCAATGGCCCGTACTGGTACCTGTGGGGGCCCGAGCGGGAAAGGCGGAATGGAAAGAGTAGAGGGTTGGATGGGAGAAATGCTCATGGAAAGGACCAAGCCCGGTACCTGCATCACCTACCACTGACATACCCCACCATGGCCGTGCCGCGGGTCAATGGCCTGTACTGGTACCTGTGGGGGCCCGAGCGGGCAACCAGGAAGGGCGGAATGGAAAGAGAAGGGAGCCGGATGGACACATGCAGGGAAATGATCATGGGAAAGATCGATTCCAGTCCCTGCATTGCTTTCCACCTCTGGGCAAAAGAGGTTGTCCTAGCCCCTCCCATCAAGCGAAACTCAATGTGCAACATGAGGTGAAACTTGCCCTGCCTTCATCCCTCTCTGCCGGCCATGCCCCCCCCCACCCTTCAACCCTCCCCTCCCCCACTTCACACCCAATCCCCACTCTCCTCCTCCTTCTCCTCCTCCCGCTTCCCCCACACGCACCAGTAGAAGGAGAGGGTGAGGATGGCGCGGTGAATACGGTGCCGATACTCCGTGATGTTGCTTTCCTTCAGCCTTGATTCAAGGTATGCTGCGCACAGCGCCTGGTGGGAGGGGAAGGGGGAAGTGGAGAAAGATGGTAGTTTTTATATTGAAAGCATAACGGCTTGGGGGGGGGGGGGAGAAGGGAGGTGGTGGGGGGAGGAGAACAGCAAGAGGTGAAGGGAGGAGGGGAGGGTGGTGTTCTGTTCCATGTTCAAGTCTGCTCTGTTGAGCGGCCTTGGGGAAGGATGCGGCGAGGGGGAGGTGGGTTGAGAATGCTGGAGATATGGAAACCAAACAGAGTCTCTGGGGGAGGGAAAGGGGGAAGGTGCAGAGAGAAAAGAAGAGCAGCTGAGGCATGGAGGAGGAGGAGGGGGGAAGAAGGGGCGTGGAGGGAGGGAAAGGAGGGCATTGCAGACCAGGTATGGAAGGCAGATACGACAAAAGGAAGGCAGCATGGGATGGGAGGGAGGAAAGCAGCAAGCACGGGCCTTCCATGCGGCGTCCATCTCGTGGTTGTACTGCTGGTGCTGGATGCGCTGCTGCGTGACAAACACGTTGAGGTGAGTTGCCTCAAAACTCAACACTCACCTTCCATGCGGCGTCCATCTCGTGGTTGTACTGCTGGATGCGCTGCTGCGTAACAAACACGTTGATGGACAGCCGGTAGTACGTGGGCCTGGCGGTAGCAAGGTAGAGGGGCGGCAGGGGGACAGAGATGCAGGGGGAGCACATGCACACATGGGAGAGGGGTGTGAAAGAAGCTTTTGAGTCGACTCAAAAGTCATCTCGTGGTTGAACTGCTGGATGCGCTGCTGTGTGACAAACACGTTGATGGACAGGCGGTAGTACGTGGGACTGGTGGCAGTACGTTGAAAGGGCGGCAGGGGGACAGAGATCCAGGGCAGCAGGGCGGCAGGGCGGACATGCACACATGGGATAGGGGCGTGAAGGAAGCAGAAGTGTGAGAATCTGTGAATATGGCCCATGGCCATGCATTCGAGGAGCTATGGAAGGGAGGGGGGAGGGAAGGACGGATGAATGGGCAGCACAAGCACTGCACAGGAATCATGGAGCAGGAGTGGGCAGGAGTGGGCAGGAGTGGGTGGGTGGGCGGGAGTGGGTAAGAGTGGGCGGGAGTGGGCATGAGCGGGTAAACGTGAGCCTAATGGAACATGCACTAGCTTGCATCTGACTGATTGTGCCTCAAACCGGTGCCTAATCACCAAATGAGCACTCATAGCATCAGAGCAGCCAGTGTACATGAGAAGTTGCACGGCTAGATACTCAAGGCAAGATGTAGATGGGATGGGGGGTATGCGGAATGGGGAGAGATGTGGAAGGAGCGGAGTGGAGTAGTGAGGTGGGTGGCAGTTGTGGAGTTGCCAAGTCAAGTAGATAAGGGGAGAGGAGTTGAGGGGAGGGGAGGTGAGGGGAAGTGAGGTGAGATGATGTGAGGTGAGGTGAGGTGACTCACGTGCGGGAAAGGGTGATTCGAGTGCCGTTAAGCAGTGTGCTGGTGACAGGGGCGGGGGGAAGAGGGGGAGGAGAGCAGGGGAGGGCCAGGGCGATGAGAGCAAGGCGGCCAAGCAAGCAAGCAGGCAGGCAGGCAGGCAGGCAGGCAGGCAGGCAGGCAGGCAGGCAGGCAGGCAGGCAGGCAGGCAGGCAGGCAGGCAGGCAGGCAGGCAGGCAGGCAGGCAGGCAGGCAGGCAGGCAGGCAGGCAGGCAGGCCAGCGCGACGAACGCGCCGACCAGCGGGTTGTCCGCGCCGACCAGCGCGACGAACGCGCCGACCAGCAGGACGTCCGCGCCGACCAGCGCGACGACCGCGCCGACAAACGGGACGTCCGCGCCGACCAGCGCGACGAACGCGCCGCCCGTCAATCCCGCTCCCGAGGGCATTCCGCCCATCAATCCGGCTCCCGAGGGCCTTTCGCCCGTCAATCCGGCTCCTGAGGGCATTCCGCCCGTCAATCCGGCTCCCGAGGGCATTCCGCCCGTCAATCCCGCTCCCGAGGGCATTCCGCCCGTCAATCCCGCTCCCGAGGGCATTCCGCCCGTCAATCCCGCTCCCGAGGGCATTCCGCCCGTTAATCCCGCTCGCGAGGGCATTCCGCCCGTTAATCCCGCTCCCGAGGGCATTCCGCCCGTTACTCCCGCTCCCGAGGGCATTTTGCTCGTCAATCCCGCTCCCATCATTCTTCTCCACGCTTCCGCCCACCTTCTCCCTCTCCTCCTCCACCTAAGGGCCATCCAGCCCTCCTCACCCTTCCCCCTCGCGTCCTCCTCCTAAGGGCCATCCAGCCCTCCTCACCCTTCCCCCTCGCGTCCTCCTCCTAAGGGCCATCCAGCCCTCCTCACCCTTCCCCCTCGCGTCCTCCTCCTAAGGGCCATCCAGCCCTCCTCACCCTTCCCCCTCGCGTCCTCCTCCTAAGGGCCATCCAGCCCTCCTCACCCTTCCCCCTCGCGTCCTCCACCTAAGGGCCATCCAGCCCTCCTCACCCTTCCCCCTCGCGTCCTCCTCCTAAGGGCCATCCAGCCCTCCTCACCCTTCCCCCCTCGCGTCCTCCACCTAAGGGCCATCCAGCCCTCCTCACCCTTCCCCCCTCGCGTCCTCCTCCTAAGGGCCATCCAGCCCTCCTCACCCTTCCCCCCTCGCATCCTCCTCCTAAGGGCCATCCAGCCCTCCTCACCCTTCCCCCCTCGCGTCCTCCTCCTAAGGGCCATCCAGCCCTCCTCACCTTTCCCCCCTCGCGTCCTCCTCCTAAGGGCCATCCAGCCCTCCTCACCCTTCCCCCTCGCGTCCTCCTCCTAAGGGCCATCCAGCCCTCCTCACCCTTCCCCCCTCGCGTCCTCCTCCTAAGGGCCATCCAGCCCTCCTCACCCTTCCCCCCTCGCGTCCTCCTCCTAAGGGCCATCCAGCCCTCCTCACCCTTCCCCCCTCGCGTCCTCCTCCTAAGGGCCATCCAGCCCTCCTCACCCTTCCCCCCTCGCGTCCTCCTCCTAAGGGCCATCCAGCCCTCCTCACCCTTCCCCCCTCGCGTCCTCCTCCTAAGGGCCATCCAGCCCTCCTCCCCTTCCCCCCTCGCTTCCTCCTCCTAAGGGCCATCCAGCCCTCCTCCCCTTCCCCCTCGCTTCCTCCTCCTAAGGGCCATCCAGCCCTCCTCCCCTTCCCCCTCGCTTCCTCCTCCTAAGGGCCATCCAGCCCTCCTCCCCTTCCCCCTCGCTTCCTCCTCCTAAGGGCCATCCAGCCCTCCTCCCCTTCCCCCTCGCGTCCTCCTCCTAAGGGCCATCCAGCCCTCCTCTGTTAGAATATAGCATATGTCAGTTTATATTGGTGTTAGTGTTACACCCAATGTGGGTGTACACTTTGGACCAGGTTTGGTTGGGTGCACCCCAAACCCACTCGACCTCACTTGATTGGTTCATCCCAACCATTATTGGTCCCTCCAATAATTGAAGGTCAGCCCAAAGTTGGTGACCACTCTTATTGGTCCACCAATAATGCTTTGGGTACCTCTCCAAGTCACCCTCAAGTTTCTCTCCTATATGTACCCACGTTTTCCTAATGATATCAACTCTTGAGTTCACCGCTCATCCCAACTATGGGATTCTCACATGGTATCAGAGCTGTTTTGGCTAACGCCACCTTCCCCCTCCCTAGGAACCTCCAGCCACCGTGCTGTCCTAGAAGATCCTCGGCCCCATGCCACCTTCATGGTCTTTGCACCACAAGCCTGCTCCCCTTCCTCAGCCTTCCCTTCGCGGCGTTTGCGGCACTTATCCGCACCGACCAGCAGGACGAACGCGCTGACCTGCGGGACGAACGCGCTGACCTGCGGGACGAACGCGCGGACCTGCGGGACGAACGCGCGGACCTGCGGGACGAACGCGCGGACCTGCGGGACGAACGCGCGGACCTGCGGGACGAACGCGCGGACCTGCGGGACGAACGCGCGGACCTGCGGGACGAACGCGCGGACCTGCGGGACGAACGCGCTGACCTGCGGGACGAACGCGCGGACCTGCGGGACGAACGCGCGGACCTGCGGGACGAACGCGTCGACCGTCAATCTCGCTCCCAAGGGCATTTCGCGCGTCAGTTTCGCTCCCGAGGGCATTTCGCGCGTCAGTTTCGCTCCCGAGGGCATTTCGCCCGTCAGTTTCGCTCCCAAGGGCATTTCGCCCGTCAGTCTCGCTCCCGAGGGCATTTCGCCCGTCAGTTTCGCTCCCAAGGGCATTTCGCCCGTCAGTTTCGCTCCCAAGGGCATTTCGCCCGTCAGTTTCGCTCCCGAGGGCATTTCGCCCGTCAGTTTCGCTCCCGAGGGCATTTCGCCCACCACGCCGCTCCTCACAGCGTTCCTCCACACCTTCACCCTCTCTTCAACACGCTTCCGCCCCTTTTTCCCTCTGTACGTCCTCCTTGAAGCCTTTTAGCCTCCTCTCCCCTTGCTCCTCCTCCTCACGGCCATCCAGCCCTCTCCTCTCCCCTCGCCTTCTCCTCCTCAGGGCATTCCAGCCCTCCTCCCCCCTCGCTTCCTCCTCCTCAGGGCATTCCAGCCCCCCTCCCCCCTCGCTTCCTCCTCCTCAGGGCATTCCAGCCCTCCTCCCCCCTCGCTTCCTCCTCCTCAGGGCATTCCAGCCCTCCTCCCCCCTCGCTTCCTCCTCCTCAGGGCATTCCAGCCCTCCTCCCCCCTCGCTTCCTCCTCCTCAGGGCATTCCAGCCCTCCTCCCCCCTCGCTTCCTCCTTCTCAGGTCATTCCAGCCCTCCTCCCCCCTCGCTTCCTCCTCCTCAGGGCATTCCAGCCCTCCTCCCCCCTCGCTTCCTCCTCCTCAGGGCATTCCAGCCCTCCTCCCCCCTCGCTTCCTCCTTCTCAGGGCATTCCAGCCCTCCTCCCCCCTCGCTTCCTCCTCCTCAGGGCATTCCAGCCCTCCTCCCCCCTCGCTTCCTCCTCCTCCTCAGGGCATTCCAGCCCTCCTCCCCCCTCGCTTCCTCCTCCTCAGGGCATTCCAGCCCTCCTTCCCCCCCTCCCCCTCGCTTCCTCCTCCTCCTAAGGGCAATCTTGCCCTCCTCCCCCTTCCCCCTCTCCTCCTCCTCCAAAGGGCCATCCAGCACTCCTCCCATTTCCCCCTCGCTTCCTCCTCCTACGGGCCATCCAGCCCTCCTTTCCTTTTTCCCTCCTACTCCGGACCATCCATCCCGGCTTCCCCTCCTTCCACCCTTGACTATCTTCAAAAAAAAAAAAAATAACACCTTGGGCTGGCTTGCCTCCTCACCTGCTGCAGTCTCCCCCTCCCGGCTGGCGTGCGACCTCACCGCCGCAGCACCTTGGGCTGGCTTGCCTCCTCACCTGCAGCAGCCCCCCTCCCGGCTGGCGTGCGACCTCACCGCCGCAGCACCTTCGGCTGGCTTGCCTCCTCACCTGCAGCAGCCCCTCTCCCGGCTGGCGTGCGACCTCACCGCCGCAGCACCTTCGGCTGGCTTGCCTCCTCACCTGCAGCAGCCCCTCTCCCGGCTAGCGTGCGACCTCACCGCCGCAGCTCCTTCGGCTGGCTTGCCTCCTCACCTGCAGCAGCCCCTCTCCCGGCTGGCGTGCGACCTCACCGCCGCAGCACCTTCGGCTGGCTTGCCTCCTCACCTGCAGCAGCCCCTCTCCCGGCTGGCGTGCGACCTCACCGCCGCAGCTCCTTCGGCTGGCTTGCCTCCTCACCTGCAGCAGCCCCTCTCCCGGCTGGCGTGCGACCTCACCGCCGCAGCCCCTTCGGCTGGCTTGCCTCCTCACCTGCAGCAGCCCCTCTCCCGGCTGGCGTGCGACCTCACCGCCGCAGCCCCTTCGGCTGGCTTGCCTCCTCACCTGCAGCAGCCCCTCTCCCGGCTGGCGTGCGACCTCACCGCCGCAGCACCTTCGGCTGGCTTGCCTCCTCACCTGCAGCAGCCCCTCTCCCGGCTGGCGTGCGACCTCACCGCCGCAGCACCTTCGGCTGGCTTGCCTCCTCACCTGCAGCAGCCCCTCTCCCGGCTGGCGTGCGACCTCACCGCCGCAGCACCTTCGGCTGGCTTGCCTCCTCACCTGCAGCAGCCCCTCTCCCGGCTGGCGTGCGACCTCACCGCCGCAGCACCTTCGGCTGGCTTGCCTCCTCACCTGCAGCAGCCCCTCTCCCGGCTGGCGTGCGACCTCACCGCCGCAGCACCTTCGGCTGGCTTGCCTCCTCACCTGCAGCAGCCCCTCTCCCGGCTGGCGTGCGACCTCACCGCCGCAGCACCTTCGGCTGGCTTGCCTCCTCACCTGCAGCAGCCCCTCTCCCGGCTAGCGTGCGACCTCACCGCCGCAGCTCCTTCGGCTGGCTTGCCTCCTCACCTGCAGCAGCCCCTCTCCCGGCTGGCGTGCGACCTCACCGCCGCAGCACCTTCGGCTGGCTTGCCTCCTCACCTGCAGCAGCCCCTCTCCCGGCTGGCGTGCGACCTCACCGCCGCAGCACCTTCGGCTGGCTTGCCTCCTAACCTGCAGCAGCCCCTCTCCCGGCTAGCGTGCGACCTCACCGCCGCAGCACCTTCGGCTGGCTTGCCTCCTCACCTGCAGCAGCCCCTCTCCCAGCTGGCGTGCGACGTCACCGCCGCAGCACCTTCGGCTGGCTTGCCTCCTCACCTGCAGCAGCCCCTCTCCCGGCTAGCGTGCGACCTCACCGCCGCAGCACCTTCGGCTGGCTTGCCTCCTCACCTGCAGCAGCCCCTCTCCCGGCTGGCGTGCGACCTCACCGCCGCAGCACCTTCGGCTGGCTTGCCTCCTCACCTGCAGCAGCCCCTCTCCCGGCTGGCGTGCGACCTCACCGCCGCAGCACCTTCGGCTGGCTTGCCTCCTCACCTGCAGCAGCCCCTCTCCCAGCTGGCGTGCGACGTCACCGCCGCAGCACCTTCGGCTGGCTTGCCTCCTCACCTGCAGCAGCCCCTCTCCCGGCTGGCGTGCGACCTCACCGCCGCAGCACCTTCGGCTGGCTTGCCTCCTCACCTGCAGCAGCTCCTCTCCCGGCTGGCGTGCGACCTCACCGCCGCAGCCCCTTCGGCTGGCTTGCCTCCTCACCTGCAGCAGCCCCTCTCCCAGCTGGCGAGCGACGTCACCGCCGCAGCACCTTCGGCTGGCTTGCCTCCTCACCTGCAGCAGCCCCTCTCCCGGCTAGCGTGCGACCTCACCGCCGCAGCCCCTTCGGCTGGCTTGCCTCCTCACCTGCAGCAGCCCCTCTCCCGGCTGGCGAGCGACGTCACCGCCGCAGCCCCTTCGGCTGGCTTGCCTCCTCACCTGCAGCAGCCCCTCTCCCGGCTGGCGTGCGACCTCACCGCCGCAGCTCCTTCGGCTGGCTTGCCTCCTCACCTGCAGCAGCCCCTCTCCCGGCTGGCGTGCGACCTCACCGCCGCAGCCCCTTCGGCTGGCTTGCCTCCTCACCTGCAGCAGCCCCTCTCCCGGCTGGCGTGCGACCTCACCGCCGCAGCCCCTTCGGCTGGCTTGCCTCCTCACCTGCAGCAGCCCCTCTCCCGGCTGGCGTGCGACCTCACCGCCGCAGCACCTTCGGCTGGCTTGCCTCCTCACCTGCAGCAGCCCCTCTCCCGGCTAGCGTGCGACCTCACCGCCGCAGCACCTTCGGCTGGCTTGCCTCCTCACCTGCAGCAGCCCCTCTCCCGGCTGGCGTGCGACCTCACCGCCGCAGCACCTTTGGCTGGCTTGCCTCCTCACCTGCAGCAGCCCCTCTCCCGGCTGGCGTGCGACCTCACCGCCGCAGCCCCTTCGGCTGGCTTGCCTCCTCACCTGCAGCAGCCCCTCTCCCGGCTGGCGTGCGACCTCACCGCCGCAGCCCCTTCGGCTGGCTTGCCTCCTCACCTGCAGCAGCCCCTCTCCCGGCTGGCGTGCGACCTCACCGCCGCAGCACCTTCGGCTGGCTTGCCTCCTCACCTGCAGCAGCCCCTCTCCCGGCTGGCGTGCGACCTCACCGCCGCAGCACCTTCGGCTGGCTTGCCTCCTCACCTGCAGCAGCCCCTCTCCCGGCTGGCGTGCGACCTCACCGCCGCAGCACCTTCGGCTGGCTTGCTTCCTCACCTGCAGCAACCCCTCTCCCGGCTGGCGTGCGACCTCACCGCCGCAGCCCCTTCGGCTGGCTTGCCTCCTCACCTGCAGCAGCCCCTCTCCCAGCTGGCGAGCGACGTCACCGCCGCAGCACCTTCGGCTGGCTTGCCTCCTCACCTGCAGCAGCCCCTCTCCCGGCTAGCGTGCGACCTCACCGCCGCAGCTCCTTCGGCTGGCTTGCCTCCTCACCTGCAGCAGCCCCTCTCCCGGCTGGCGTGCGACCTCACCGCCGCAGCACCTTCGGCTGGCTTGCCTCCTCACCTGCAGCAGCCCCTCTCCCGGCTAGCGTGCGACCTCACCGCCGCAGCTCCTTCGGCTGGCTTGCCTCCTCACCTGCAGCAGCCCCTCTCCCGGCTGGCGTGCGACCTCACCGCCGCAGCCCCTTCGGCTGGCTTGCCTCCTCACCTGCAGCAGCCCCTCTCCCGGCTGGCGTGCGACCTCACCGCCGCAGCACCTTCGGCTGGCTTGCCTCCTCACCTGCAGCAGCCCCTCTCCCGGCTGGCGTGCGACCTCACCGCCGCAGCACCTTCGGCTGGCTTGCCTCCTCACCTGCAGCAGCCCCTCTCCCGGCTGGCGTGCGACCTCACCGCCGCAGCCCCTTCGGCTGGCTTGCCTCCTCACCTGCAGCAGCCCCTCTCCCAGCTGGCGAGCGACGTCACCGCCGCAGCACCTTCGGCTGGCTTGCCTCCTCACCTGCAGCAGCCCCTATCCCGGCTAGCGTGCGACCTCACCGCCGCAGCTCCTTCGGCTGGCTTGCCTCCTCACCTGCAGCAGCCCCTCTCCCGGCTGGCGTGCGACCTCACCGCCGCAGCACCTTCGGCTGGCTTGCCTCCTAACCTGCAGCAGCCCCTCTCCCGGCTAGCGTGCGACCTCACCGCCGCAGCACCTTCGGCTGGCTTGCCTCCTCACCTGCAGCAGCCCCTCTCCCAGCTGGCGTGCGACGTCACCGCCGCAGCACCTTCGGCTGGCTTGCCTCCTCACCTGCAGCAGCCCCTCTCCCGGCTAGCGTGCGACCTCACCGCCGCAGCACCTTCGGCTGGCTTGCCTCCTCACCTGCAGCAGCCCCTCTCCCGGCTGGCGTGCGACCTCACCGCCGCAGCACCTTCGGCTGGCTTGCCTCCTCACCTGCAGCAGCCCCTCTCCCGGCTGGCGTGCGACCTCACCGCCGCAGCACCTTCGGCTGGCTTGCCTCCTCACCTGCAGCAGCCCCTCTCCCGGCTGGCGTGCGACCTCACCGCCGCAGCCCCTTCGGCTGGCTTGCCTCCTCACCTGCAGCAGCCCCTCTCCCGGCTGGCGTGCGACCTCACCGCCGCAGCACCTTCGGCTGGCTTGCCTCCTCACCTGCAGCAGCCCCTCTCCCGGCTGGCGTGCGACCTCACCGCCGCAGCACCTTCGGCTGGCTTGCCTCCTCACCTGCAGCAGCCCCTCTCCCGGCTGGCGTGCGACCTCACCGCCGCAGCCCCTTCGGCTGGCTTGCCTCCTCACCTGCAGCAGCCCCTCTCCCAGCTGGCGAGCGACGTCACCGCCGCAGCACCTTCGGCTGGCTTGCCTCCTCACCTGCAGCAGCCCCTATCCCGGCTAGCGTGCGACCTCACCGCCGCAGCTCCTTCGGCTGGCTTGCCTCCTCACCTGCAGCAGCCCCTCTCCCGGCTGGCGTGCGACCTCACCGCCGCAGCCCCTTCGGCTGGCTTGCCTCCTCACCTGCAGCAGCCCCTCTCCCGGCTGGCGTACGACCTCACCGCCGCAGCACCTTCGGCTGGCTTGCCTCCTTCGGCTGGCTTGCCTCCTCACCTGCAGCAGCCCCTCTCCCGGCTGGCGTGCGACCTCACCGCCGCAGCACCTTCGGCTGGCTTGCCTCCTCACCTGCAGCAGCCCCTCTCCCGGCTGGCGTGCGACCTCACCGCCGCAGCACCTTCGGCTGGCTTGCCTCCTCACCTGCAGCAGCCCCTCTCCCGGCTGGCGTGCGACCTCACCGCCGCAGCACCTTCGGCTGGCTTGCCTCCTCACCTGCAGCAGCCCCTCTCCCGGCTGGCGTGCGACCTCACCGCCGCAGCCCCTTCGGCTGGCTTGCCTCCTCACCTGCAGCAGCCCCTCTCCCGGCTGGCGAGCGACGTCACCGCCGCAGCTCCTTCGGCTGGCTTGCCTCCTCACCTGCAGCAGCCCCTCTCCCGGCTGGCGTGCGACCTCACCGCCGCAGCTCCTTCGGCTGGCTTGCCTCCTCACCTGCAGCAGCCCCTCTCCCGGCTGGCGTGCGACCTCACCGCCGCAGCCCCTTCGGCTGGCTTGCCTCCTCACCTGCAGCAGCCCCTCTCCCGGCTGGCGTGCGACCTCACCGCCGCAGCCCCTTCGGCTGGCTTGCCTCCTCACCTGCAGCAGCCCCTCTCCCGGCTAGCGTGCGACCTCACCGCCGCAGCACCTTCCGCTGGCTTGCCTCCTCACCTGCAGCAGCCCCTCTCCCGGCTGGCGTGCGACCTCACCGCCGCAGCACCTTGGGCTGGCTTGCCTCCTCACCTGCAGCAGCCCCTCTCCCGGCTAGCGTGCGACCTCACCGCCGCAGCTCCTTCGGCTGGCTTGCCTCCTCACCTGCAGCAGCCCCTCTCCCGGCTGGCGTGCGACCTCACCGCCGCAGCACCTTCGGCTGGCTTGCCTCCTCACCTGCAGCAGCCCCTCTCCCGGCTGGCGTGCGACCTCACCGCCGCAGCTCCTTCGGCTGGCTTGCCTCCTCACCTGCAGCAGCCCCTCTCCCGGCTGGCGTGCGACCTCACCGCCGCAGCCCCTTCGGCTGGCTTGCCTCCTCACCTGCAGCAGCCCCTCTCCCGGCTGGCGTGCGACCTCGCCGCCGCAGCACCTTCGGCTGGCTTGCCTCCTCACCTGCAGCAGCCCCTCTCCCGGCTGGCGTGCGACCTCGCCGCCGCAGCCCCTTGGGCTGGCTTGCCTCCTCACCTGCAGCAGCCCCTCTCCCGGCTGGCGTGCGACCTCGCCGCCGCAGCACCTTCGGCTGGCTTGCCTCCTCACCTGCAGCAGCCCCTCTCCCGGCTGGCGTGCGACCTCGCCGCCGCAGCACCTTGGGCTGGCTTGCCTCCTCACCTGCAGCAGCCCCTCTCCCGGCTGGCGTGCGACCTCACCGCCGCAGCACCTTCGGCTGGCTTGCCTCCTCACCTGCAGCAGCCCCTCTCCCGGCTGGCGTGCGACCTCACCGCCGCAGCACCTTCGGCTGGCTTGCCTCCTCACCTGCAGCAGCCCCTCTCCCGGCTGGCGTGCGACCTCACCGCCGCAGCCCCTTCGGCTGGCTTGCCTCCTCACCTGCAGCAGCCCCTCTCCCGGCTGGCGAGCGACGTCACCGCCGCAGCACCTTCGGCTGGCTTGCCTCCTCACCTGCAGCAGCCCCTATCCCGGCTGGCGTGCGACCTCACCGCCGCAGCACCTTCGGCTGGCTTGCCTCCTCACCTGCAGCAGCCCCTCTCCCGGCTAGCGTGCGACCTCACCGCCGCAGCCCCTTCGGCTGGCTTGCCTCCTCACCTGCAGCAGCCCCTCTCCCGGCTGGCGTGCGACCTCACCGCCGCAGCACCTTCGGCTGGCTTGCCTCCTCACCTGCAGCAGCCCCTCTCCCGGCTAGCGTGCGACCTCACCGCCGCAGCTCCTTCGGCTGGCTTGCCTCCTCACCTGCAGCAGCCCCTCTCCCGGCTGGCGTGCGACCTCACCGCCGCAGCACCTTCGGCTGGCTTGCCTCCTCACCTGCAGCAGCCCCTCTCCCGGTTGGCGTGCGACCTCACCGCCGCAGCACCTTCGGCTGGCTTGCCTCCTCACCTGCAGCAGCTCCTCTCCCGGCTGGCGTGCGACCTCACCGCCGCAGCCCCTTCGGCTGGCTTGCCTCCTCACCTGCAGCAGCCCCTCTCCCAGCTGGCGAGCGACGTCACCGCCGCAGCACCTTCGGCTGGCTTGCCTCCTCACCTGCAGCAGCCCCTCTCCCGGCTAGCGTGCGACCTCACCGCCGCAGCCCCTTCGGCTGGCTTGCCTCCTCACCTGCAGCAGCCCCTCTCCCGGCTGGCGAGCGACGTCACCGCCGCAGCCCCTTCGGCTGGCTTGCCTCCTCACCTGCAGCAGCCCCTCTCCCGGCTGGCGTGCGACCTCACCGCCGCAGCTCCTTCGGCTGGCTTGCCTCCTCACCTGCAGCAGCCCCTCTCCCGGCTGGCGTGCGACCTCACCGCCGCAGCCCCTTCGGCTGGCTTGCCTCCTCACCTGCAGCAGCCCCTCTCCCGGCTGGCGTGCGACCTCACCGCCGCAGCCCCTTCGGCTGGCTTGCCTCCTCACCTGCAGCAGCCCCTCTCCCGGCTGGCGTGCGACCTCACCGCCGCAGCACCTTCGGCTGGCTTGCCTCCTCACCTGCAGCAGCCCCTCTCCCGGCTAGCGTGCGACCTCACCGCCGCAGCACCTTCGGCTGGCTTGCCTCCTCACCTGCAGCAGCCCCTCTCCCGGCTGGCGTGCGACCTCACCGCCGCAGCACCTTTGGCTGGCTTGCCTCCTCACCTGCAGCAGCCCCTCTCCCGGCTGGCGTGCGACCTCACCGCCGCAGCCCCTTCGGCTGGCTTGCCTCCTCACCTGCAGCAGCCCCTCTCCCGGCTGGCGAGCGACGTCACCGCCGCAGCACCTTCGGCTGGCTTGCCTCCTCACCTGCAGCAGCCCCTATCCCGGCTGGCGTGCGACCTCACCGCCGCAGCACCTTCGGCTGGCTTGCCTCCTCACCTGCAGCAGCCCCTCTCCCGGCTAGCGTGCGACCTCACCGCCGCAGCCCCTTCGGCTGGCTTGCCTCCTCACCTGCAGCAGCCCCTCTCCCGGCTGGCGTGCGACCTCACCGCCGCAGCACTTTGGCTGGCTTGCCTCCTCACCTGCAGCAGCCCCTCTCCCGGCTAGCGTGCGACCTCACCGCCGCAGCTCCTTCGGCTGGCTTGCCTCCTCACCTGCAGCAGCCCCTCTCCCGGCTGGCGTGCGACCTCACCGCCGCAGCACCTTCGGCTGGCTTGCCTCCTCACCTGCAGCAGCCCCTCTCCCGGCTGGCGTGCGACCTCACCGCCGCAGCACCTTCGGCTGGCTTGCCTCCTCACCTGCAGCAGCTCCTCTCCCGGCTGGCGTGCGACCTCACCGCCGCAGCCCCTTCGGCTGGCTTGCCTCCTCACCTGCAGCAGCCCCTCTCCCAGCTGGCGAGCGACGTCACCGCCGCAGCACCTTCGGCTGGCTTGCCTCCTCACCTGCAGCAGCCCCTCTCCCGGCTAGCGTGCGACCTCACCGCCGCAGCCCCTTCGGCTGGCTTGCCTCCTCACCTGCAGCAGCCCCTCTCCCGGCTGGCGAGCGACGTCACCGCCGCAGCCCCTTCGGCTGGCTTGCCTCCTCACCTGCAGCAGCCCCTCTCCCGGCTGGCGTGCGACCTCACCGCCGCAGCTCCTTCGGCTGGCTTGCCTCCTCACCTGCAGCAGCCCCTCTCCCGGCTGGCGTGCGACCTCACCGCCGCAGCCCCTTCGGCTGGCTTGCCTCCTCACCTGCAGCAGCCCCTCTCCCGGCTGGCGTGCGACCTCACCGCCGCAGCCCCTTCGGCTGGCTTGCCTCCTCACCTGCAGCAGCCCCTCTCCCGGCTGGCGTGCGACCTCACCGCCGCAGCACCTTCGGCTGGCTTGCCTCCTCACCTGCAGCAGCCCCTCTCCCGGCTAGCGTGCGACCTCACCGCCGCAGCACCTTCGGCTGGCTTGCCTCCTCACCTGCAGCAGCCCCTCTCCCGGCTGGCGTGCGACCTCACCGCCGCAGCACCTTTGGCTGGCTTGCCTCCTCACCTGCAGCAGCCCCTCTCCCGGCTGGCGTGCGACCTCACCGCCGCAGCCCCTTCGGCTGGCTTGCCTCCTCACCTGCAGCAGCCCCTCTCCCGGCTGGCGTGCGACCTCACCGCCGCAGCCCCTTCGGCTGGCTTGCCTCCTCACCTGCAGCAGCCCCTCTCCCGGCTGGCGTGCGACCTCACCGCCGCAGCACCTTCGGCTGGCTTGCCTCCTCACCTGCAGCAGCCCCTCTCCCGGCTGGCGTGCGACCTCACCGCCGCAGCACCTTCGGCTGGCTTGCCTCCTCACCTGCAGCAGCCCCTCTCCCGGCTGGCGTGCGACCTCACCGCCGCAGCACCTTCGGCTGGCTTGCTTCCTCACCTGCAGCAACCCCTCTCCCGGCTGGCGTGCGACCTCACCGCCGCAGCCCCTTCGGCTGGCTTGCCTCCTCACCTGCAGCAGCCCCTCTCCCAGCTGGCGAGCGACGTCACCGCCGCAGCACCTTCGGCTGGCTTGCCTCCTCACCTGCAGCAGCCCCTCTCCCGGCTAGCGTGCGACCTCACCGCCGCAGCTCCTTCGGCTGGCTTGCCTCCTCACCTGCAGCAGCCCCTCTCCCGGCTGGCGTGCGACCTCACCGCCGCAGCACCTTCGGCTGGCTTGCCTCCTCACCTGCAGCAGCCCCTCTCCCGGCTAGCGTGCGACCTCACCGCCGCAGCTCCTTCGGCTGGCTTGCCTCCTCACCTGCAGCAGCCCCTCTCCCGGCTGGCGTGCGACCTCACCGCCGCAGCCCCTTCGGCTGGCTTGCCTCCTCACCTGCAGCAGCCCCTCTCCCGGCTGGCGTGCGACCTCACCGCCGCAGCACCTTCGGCTGGCTTGCCTCCTCACCTGCAGCAGCCCCTCTCCCGGCTGGCGTGCGACCTCACCGCCGCAGCACCTTCGGCTGGCTTGCCTCCTCACCTGCAGCAGCCTCTCTCCCGGCTGGCGTGCGACCTCACCGCCGCAGCCCCTTCGGCTGGCTTGCCTCCTCACCTGCAGCAGCCCCTCTCCCAGCTGGCGTGCGACGTCACCGCCGCAGCACCTTCGGCTGGCTTGCCTCCTCACCTGCAGCAGCCCCCCCTCCCGGCTGGCGTGCGACCTCACCGCCGCAGCACCTTGGGCTGGCTTGCCTCCTCACCTGCAGCAGCCCCCCCTCCCGGCTGGCGTGCGACCTCACCGCCGCAGCACCTTGGGCTGGCTTGCCTCCTCACCTGCAGCAGCCCCCCCTCCCGGCTGGCGTGCGACCTCACCGCCGCAGCACCTTGGGCTGGCTTGCCTCCTCACCTGCAGCAGCCCCCCTCCCGGCTTGTCAATTCAGGGGTTGTGCACATTTAAACCCTTCTTCTGCTAAGAGGTTGTGTTAGATTATAGCATCAGTTGGGTTGTAAATGTGCAAGTGTAACACCCAAACATGGGTGTACACTTTGGGCCAAGGCGCCCCAACCAGTTTTGGTTGGGCGCGTCCCAACCCCACTCTGCCACAATTGGCGGGGGGAACCAGGCCCCCCAATAATTGGCAGCCACTTCCAAAACATTATTGGTGGCTACTCCCATTGGCTAACCAATAATGTTGCGGGTACCCAACCTAGGTCTCCCACTTCTCATCTCTTATATGTACCCACCATCTTTCTAATCAAACCAACTCTTGAGTTCACCTATCATCCCAACTATGGGATTCTCACACCCATCCCTCCTTTCGTTTCGCTCTTGCCTCCCCACCCTCCTTTTCCCCACTCAGTATTGCCTATCATTCAGGGGACGCTGTGCTGTGGCAGAGAACGGTGGCCCATGAGACGACTTATGAAGAGGAAAGGGGCTCTTGGGGCTACGATCCACCTCATCTTCTCAACAGCCCTCTCCCCAACAGCCCTCTCCCCAACAGCCCTCTCCCCCCATTCAGCAGTGGTACTCTCCCTCTCTGCCTCTCTCACCCAGGGGATGCGGTGCTATGGCAGGGAATGGTGGCCCATGAGTCTCCACCTGCCACTGCCCACACCTCCTCCACACTCCCTGCCACTGCCAGCTGCGTGCCATGTGCCATGCCATGTCGTGGCACACCATGTGCCATGCCGCGCCATGCCATGCCATACCATGCCATGCCGTTCCATGCATTGCCATGCCATGCCATGCCATGCCATGCCATGCCATGCCATGCCATGCCATGCCGTGCCATGCCGTGCCATGCCGTTCCATGCCATGCCATGCCATGCCATGCCATGCCATGCCGTGCCATGCCGTTCCATGCCATGCCATGCCATGCCATGCCGTTCCATGCAGTGCCATACCATGCCGTTCTATGCCAGCAGAACGGACGGGAGGGACAAACGAAAAGAGGAAAGGAAGAGGAAAGAGCCGCAGAGAGGTCGAGTTAAAGCAGTGAAGAGGCGAGATAGAGCAGAGGAGAGGCGAGATAGAGCAGAGGAGAGGCGAGATAGAGCAGAGGAGAGGCGAGATAGAGCAGAGAAGAGGCGAGATAGAGCAGAGGAGAGGCGAGATAGAGCAGAGGAGAGGCGAGATAGAGCAGAGGAGAGGCAAGATAGAGCAGAGGAGAGGCAAGATAGAGCAGAGGAGGGGCGGCGGCTGAAGGGCAACAGGACTGGCAGCAGAGCTCACCCGCTGAGTCAACTCAAAACACGACTCACCTGCTCCATTCTGTCTGCTGCTGATGGTGCCCTCTGCAGCATGAGCGCGTGCAGTAGATGAAGTGTGCTGGCGAGTGGTGGGAGGAGGAAGAGGAAGGGACAAAGAGGAGGGAAATGGAGCCGGAAAAAGGGAGGGGAAAAACAGGGAGAGAAGGGGAAGGGGAATGTGGAGGGGGGAGCGAGAGGGAAAACGGGAGTTGAAAGGAGAGGGGAAAAGGGGAAGAGGAAGGGGGAGGTGGGGAAAAAGGTGGGAAAAAAAAGGGAAAGGGGGAGAGGGAAGGAAAGGGAAAGTAGAGACTGTTTTAGAGGGAGAGAGGAAGGGGGGAGGTGGCTTCTGTTTTGGAGTTTGTCTGCTTCTTAAACTGATCAGTGTGCCTGTATACTGCCGCCTATATCAATGAAAGGACCGTTTGAAGGAAAGGGAAAAGGCCGCAAACTTCTCAGGGAAGAAGTGGCATGAGTGTGTGTAAGGTGCGTGCATGCGCGGTACACCCCAAGGCGAGCCATGAGCGGGTAGGCACCCACCTATTGCAGAGGTTGCGTTGATGCGACCTACGAGTGTGCACTCACAAGTTGATTCGGCGGCGTGAGTGAGTGAGATGAGTGAGATGAGTGAGTGAGCGAGTGAGTGGGTGAGGGAGTGTGGTGAGTGAGTGAGTGAGTGAGCGTGTGAGTGAGTGAGTGAGCGTGTGGGTGAGTGAGTGAGTGAGCAAGAGAGTGAGTGAGCGAGTGAGTGAGTGAGTGAGGGAGTGAGCGAGTGAGTGAGGTGAATCAGCGAGCGAGCGAGTGAGTGAGCGAGTGCGAGAGGTGAGTGAGCGAGTGAATGAGTGAGCGTGTGAGTGAGTGAGTGAGCGTGTGGGTGAGTGAGTGAGTGAGCAAGAGAGTGGGTGAGCGAGTGAGTGAATGAGTGAGTGAGCGAGTGAGTGAGGTGAATCAGCGAGCGAGCGAGTGAGTGAGCGAGTGCGAGAGGTGAGTGAGCGAGTGAATGAGTGAGCGTGTGAGTGAGTGAGTGAGCGTGTGGGTGAGTGAGTGAGTGAGCAAGAGAGTGAGTGAGCAAGTGAGTGAGTGAGTGAGTGAGCGAGTGAGTGAGGTGAATCAGTGAGCGAGCGAGTGAGTGAGCGAGTGCGAGAGGTGAGTGAGCGAGTGAATGGGTGAGTGAGTGGGTACCCACCGGTTGTAGTAGGGCGAGTAGCGTGCGTTGATGGACTGCCCGTTCATGAGTGGCGTGTCCAGTGTTGCATGCTGCTCGCTCTCACTGCTCTCACCACACACAGGGCGCATGCAGGGCGCAGGAAGGAGCACACCGGGTGAGAAGGGGTAGGGGGCACGTGGGGTGCGAAGGTGGAAGTGGGTTCACAGGGTGAGAGGGAGGAGGGGGCAAGCGGAGTTAGGGAAAGGAGCATGCATCATGCCATCCGCATGTGGAATTAGGGGTGATGGCAGCACAATGCTCCTATTCGCATCGCATGCAATGCCACACCAGGTGATGCCAGGCCAGGCTCAGAAGTAACAACGACGGACACATACGCCCTGACCAGGTGACTCTACATGAGGCGCCTCAAGAACACATGAGAACCATGCAACATTCCCCATCCTTCCTGCCCTCCCCGTCCTTCCTGCCCTCCCCGCCCTCCCTGCCCTCCCTGCCCTCCCCGCCCTCCCTGCCCTCCCTGCTCTCCACCCCTCCCCACCTGAGTCGATCCATCCACACCACAGCCGTGCTTGGCTCTGCCAGCTGTCGCCACCGCACCACACGGTCATACACGTCACGCCACCCCGCCACCGTCTCCCCCCGCCTCCTCCGCCCTCTCTGCCCCCGTGCCCCCTCGCCCCTCCCCTCCCCTCCCTTCCTCTCCTCCCCTCCCCCCTCCTCCTCCTGCTGCTGCTCTCGCTGCTGCCGCCGCTGCCCTCTTTTTCCTCCTGAACCCCGCTTGCCCTCTGCCGGTTGCCCACTCGCACCGCTCTCCACCGCGCTGGCTCTCTCCTCCGCCATGGCCGCCCATGTGCGGCGCACCAGGTCTCGAAGGTCCATCATTGCCAGCCCTGCCATGCGGTACTGGTGGTGGTGGTGGTGGTGGTGGTGGCGGGAGAAGAGGGAGTGGGAAGGAGGGGAGAGGGAGGAGGGGAAGGAATGGACTTGTCACAGAAAGAATGTCCATCATTGCCAGCCCTGCAATGCAATACTGGTGGCGCGGGGGGGGGAGAGGGGGGGGGAGCGAGAAGGAGGGGAGAGGGAGGAGAGGGAGGGGATAGACTTGTTAAGGCGCCTGAAAGAATGTCCATCATTGCCAGCTCTGCCATGCGGTACTAGTCGTGGTGCCCCATGCACCCAGGGGGGAGGAGGGGGAAGTGATGGGGGGGGGGAAGGGAGGGATGGATTGTTCCGCAGAAAATCGCGAGTCACAGACGTAAAGAGACAGCACAGGCCCATCCATTCAAATTTCCTCCCTGCCTACCCCCATCTCAACCTCCCATCCCATCCACACCCACCTTGCAAGTGTTGGCCAGGAGCAATGCCAGTCGCACATGTGTTGAGTTAACTCAATCTTGAATTATACGGACAACTCAGGTGGCGAGGTGACTGTGTAATTTCACTCAGAAAATCCCCGCATCACCTCTACCTCTCCCCGTCTTCCCCCAACAGCATCCACCCACCCACCTGGCGCATGTTGGGCAGAAATCCGTGCCAGTCGTACGCTGTGAGTGCGCCCAGCTTCTCAGCCGCCCCCACCAGCTGCAGCACAGCGGGCGGCAGCACCGCATCATCCTCCCCTCCTGTGCCTGCCCTTTTTGTGCCACCATGTGCGCGCCCTTCCTTCTGGAGCTCGTAGCCGGGGAAGAGCACGGAGGGCGGCATGCGCTTGCTCCATGCTTCCTGCACCAGCGGTGGTGTTAGTGGTAATGTGTGTGTGTGGAGAAGGGAAGGGGATGGAAAGAAGTTTTGAAACGTCTTGAAACCCCTTTTGTGCCACCATGTGTGTGCCCTTCCTATTGGAGCTCGTAGCCAGGAGAGAGCACAGAGGGAGGCAGGCGCTTGCTCCATGCTTCCTGTGTGGGTGGTGGTGGTGGTGGTGGTGGTGGTGTGGTGGTGGTGGTGTGTGGGGAAGGGATGGGGAGAACGAGTGAGGGGGTAAAGGGGAGAGGGGGTGAGGTGTGGGGGAAGAGGGGAAGAGGGGATGAGGGGAATGGGGGGAGTAACAAACAGCAAGTGTAATGTTGCAAGCAGCAGTGGCATGAGCAGTGGCAGCAGTGGCATGAGCAGTGGGATGAGCAGTGGGATGAGCAGTGGAAATGAGTAGTGGGATGAGCAGTGGGATGAGCAGTGGGATGAGCAGTGGGATGAGCAGTGGGATGAGCAGTGGCCTCACGTTGAAGAGAGGTCCAAGGTGGTCCAAAGGTCGGAAGAGAGTGAGGGGCTTGCTCTGCCGTGCTGCCATGTACAGCGCTATCTCCCTCTGTGGCTCATGCACATGCACGCACGCTCACACATGCACGCACGCACACACATGCATGCACGCACACACATGAGAAGAATGCAGGTAGACAAGTGGGGGCGGGCAGGGGGAGTGAGTCAAGTCAAGTACCAGCACTGGTACTCCATAGACGAGGTAGCTTGTGGCACCGTGTTGCATGAAGTGAGCAAACTGGTCGGTCAGTCATTAAACCAGAAGAAAACGAAGGCACAGCAGCCGGCGGCGGCGGCAGCGGCGGCAGCAGTAGCAGCAGCAGCATTTACCTGGTAGAAGGCCTGGTAGAGCCTGCCAGGGTCGGTGCCGAGTGGTGGGGTGAGGCTCATGAGGTCATTGTACTTGCGCACCTGCCATGCCATGCCATGCCATGCCATGGCAGCACAGGCAGGCGGACAGTGTGGGGAGAGGGAAATGTGAGGGGAGTGCGGTGGGCGAGGGCCGCAGGATGGCATGGCAAATCCAGGAGTGCACGAATGGCTGCAAGGAGCAGCAAGGTGCTGACTGGTAGGGAGGGATTCCACAAGGTGGGGAGGTGTGAGAGGTGTGAGAGTGAGGGGGGCACTCACTGCTTCAGCCCATCGGCCCATGGCGTGCAGGCAAGAAGCTTCCAGGAAGCGCATTTCGACGTCTGATGGTGTGATGCTGAGGACGTGTTGTGCTGTGGATAGAACGGTGCTGTGGGATAAGCACGGTGGGGATGGCAAGGAGGGATGGCACAGTGGGATGGCACAGTGGGATGGCACAGTGGGAGGCATGCATGCGATGGGCGCATAGGGACAGGGGAGCATGAGATGGGCGGGTGCAGTGCTGTGCAGGCAGTGATACTATGCACGCATGAAGGCATGTGAAGAATAGCACAGAGAAGAGAAGAATGGTCTGATACCATAGGATAGGAGGGATGGGGCATGGATGGGCTGAGAGGGGAGAGGAAGGTGCTAGAGGGTGAGTGCGAGATGTGATGATGATGCAGTTAAGCTGAGAGAAGCATAAGGGAAGGAGAGAGTGGTGGCAGGCAGGATAGAGGGAAGGGAACGGGGGGTTCGGACAGGAGGCACGGAGGCCTGAGGAACAGAGCAGGCTCAAGGTGCGATGATGCAGCGACGCAGGGATGCAGGGTAGAGATTACGGTGGAGAACGGGGCTGAGTCAGGGTTGAGTTGAGCGGGTGAGGGGGGGAATTGAGCTGTGGGGGGTGAATTGAGTTGTGGGGAGTGAATTGAGCTGTGGGGAGTGAATTGAGCTGTGGGGGCCGGGGGTCCGGAGGGAACGTACTGGTGGTGGCCCATGGAGAAGTGGAAGTTGGCGTATATGCGCTGCACCTCCACGTTGCTGGGAGCAGAACGGGGAGAGGGGAGGGAGATGGCAGAGACCAGCAGGGAAGAGCAGGGTCAGCAGAACACAGCAGTGGGTGGCAGCTCGAGTTGATGGGATTGCAATAGGATTTCCTTTTTCCCAAGTCCACAAAGCACGCTGGCTTCCACACTCTCTCTAATGGCCCTTTCATTGATAGTCAAGGTGTACAGACATGCAAGGTATAGGTTATCACGAACATGGGGCAGGTACAGAATACACTTCCACACACTCTCTCTCTCTCAGCACAGCACCTGGATATCCCTTCGCTCTCCCACACTCCCTCTCCCCACCACCCCCTCCTCCCCACCACTGTCCCCAAAAAGTCCACCCAATCCCCCCCTCCTCTCCCCTCCCCCCTCTCCATATTCCCCCATCCAGCACCCCTCTCCCTGCCCACTGTGCATCCATGACCAGGACAGCCTGTAGAGTGGAGTCGGCGTCGTGGGGAGGGGATGCCCCTGTTAATGCTAGCCCCCGCCACCACGCGCACCTGCCAGTACCGCCCCACCGTGCATCCAGAACCTCCCACTCAGCTACCTTTTGAGAATTCTCAAAAGTCGCACCAATATAGCTGTGCATCCATGGCGAGGATAGCCTGCAGAGGGGCATCGGCCTCCTCGCTTGGCGTGGCAACCCCCTTCCCCTCCCTTCCCAGCCCTCCCTCTTCTCCCCTCCCATCCCATTACGACCCGTCCCCTCACCCTCCCTCCTCACCGTGCATCCATGGCCAGGACAGCCTGCAGAGCAGCATCGGCCTCCTGGGCGTGCCCCGCCACCATGAGCGCCTGCCCCAGCACCACGCGCACCTGCCAGTACTGCCCCTGCGCCGCCACCACTGCCTGTAGCTCCCCCACCGCCTCCCCACACCGCCCCGCTTCCAGCAGTGCCTGTGCCTGGCGGGTGAGCAGAAAAACGTAGGGGGGAGAGGGGGTGGGAGGGGGGAGTGGGGGAGGAAGGGGGGAGAAAGGGAGAGTGGGGGCGAGGAGAGGGGGTTGGAGGGAGGGGGATGGGGAGGAAAAAGGGAGGGGTTGAGTCTGGGTGGAGGGGGGAGGTGGGGTGTGTTGGGTGGGGAGTGTTGGGTGGGGTGTGGTTGTGGTGGGGTTGTAGTGCTGGCACTGGCATGGAGAAGCACAGGCAGGGGGCGGGCAGGGGAGGGAGACGAGGGGATAGCTAGCACTACGAATCTAGGAGGGCTTGTGTTGGGGTTCAATGCATGCTGCCGTGTGTGCTGTTCGTGTTGGAAAAAAGGAGGGTGAGGAGGGGGGGGAAGTCTAGTTTTGAGGCGCCTCAAAACTGGGTTTGTGTTGGGGTTCACTGCATGCTGCTGTGTGCACTGTTCGTGTGGGGAAAAAGGAGGGTGAGGAGGGGGGGGGAGGAGGGGAAGGGGGGAATGGGAGGGAAGTGGGTGGAGGGTAGAGCACAGTGGAACCAACCAGGTGTGCGCGTGCATTGTGGTGGTGTGGTGAGAGCAGCAGCACGGCCTTAAAGTCATCAATGGCCTCCCAGTTGCGGATCGCTCCCAGCAGCGCCACGCCTGGCAGGAGTGCAAGGGAATACGCGACAAAGAAGAGGGGTGGGGTGGGACGAAGGTGTGGGGTGGGACGAAGGTGTGGGGTGGGTGGGAATGCGTGACAGAGAGAAGGCTGGAGTCCGGACGGAGGTGCAGAGAGGGAATTCGGGGCGGGTGAGGGGGGAGAGTGTTAATGTTTAGCTCTCAATCTCACATTTGTACTTGTACTTTTTATATCCTAGTTTAGTGTAGTCTGCACCTTGTGTTTGGTTGGGTGTACACCAACATCCCAACCAAACCCAAATGTGATCTCCAAGCAATCTCCAACCCACCAATTGGAGATTGCCTTGGGATTACCTCCAATTCCCCAGGATTGTCCCCGATTCTCTCCCCACCCTTACCTTGCCCATTTCCAATGTACTTAAAGAGCCTTGAGCTCATAACTAATGCATGGATTCTAAGCTCAAGTTCTGACATGGTGACAGAGCTCTTCAACCGCACACTCGGATCTTGATCCTATTACCTTTGCGGAATCCTCTCCCGCTATACTAGGCGAAGCCGCCGTCAACATTCATCGCTCGACGTTAAGAGTCATCATCGACCTAATCTTCCCGGCCGGAATTTCTCCTGCGCCGCTCCTCGTCGCCGTGATTCGCGACATCTTCCGTGGACAGTTTCTCTCTCGTGCGACCTTTTCCGCAATCACAGTGCAATCACGGTGATTCGCAATCAAGGTAACCTTCACTAGCGTTTGCTCGCCATTCACCTCAAATCACCGCGGTTCTGTCCCGCTTTTCTTCTCGCTTCGGCGTAACCCCATTCCTCTCATCTCGTCAATCTTCGGGCTGTCGCCCGCCGCCCTGCAGCTTCTCATCGGGCCGTCGCCCGTCGCCCTGCAGCTTCTCATCGAGCCGTCGCCCGTCGCCCTGCAGCTTCTCATCGAGCCGTCGCCCGTCGCCCTGCAGCTTCTCATCGGGCTGCCGCCCGTCGCCCCGCTAAGGCACTTCCACCACCCCGCAGCTAAACAGGTGCAGCCGAGCAGCAGTGCAGCAGCGAAGCCGCGAAGCTGAGGGACAGGGCTGGGGGGGGGGGGGGAGGGCTAGCAGTTCGTTGATGGTTCTAAATTCGGCGTTTCCTTCAAATTCTCCTTCAGAAACCCAAAACCTCAAGTTCTTCAAAATTCTCCTTCGTAAACCCTAAAACCCAAAGTTCTTATCAGTGACTTAAGAGAGACATTTCGCGCAAGAAAGAGGTTCTTCACCATGGCCTTCGCCTCGGCAACCATCAACTTGTTAATCCCTGGTCCCGCCATGATCAATGAAGCAACCTCGCAGCATATCGGCTCACCGCAAGCACCACTCGAGAGTTTACACTCGACAACGGGGCCACCCACACAGTGCTCAAGGGGACACTCTCCTTCAAACCCTACGCAACACCTATTCCTCTCTTGGGAGCTGATTCAAGCTTCACCACCTATGCCAAGGGTTCGTCCACTGTCCCATGCCCCGCCTTCCCATCCGGCACTGTCACTGGCATGTGCGTGCCTTCACTACGCCACAATTTAGTGGCTCAAACAGAAATTCAGGATGCGGGGTTACGCACCATCTTCTCGGAGAACGAGGACCATTGTGACATCGTCGACCCACTCACGAACAAGGTCTTGGCTCGCTTCACCCTCAATAGCAGCGGTCTTTACACGCTGCGAGTACCTATCCCACAGGTGCCAACCACCCAAGCACAGGCTGCTATCACACCATGCTCATGTCGCAGCTTCTCCAACCCGACCATCCTCTACCACCATCGGCTCGGGCACCCAAACTTCCGCACGCTCGCTGACATGGCCTCCAAGAAACTTCTTCTCGGCCTACCAGCTTCACTTCCTCCACCACCCGACTCTTCCGCTCCCACGTGCCTTGACATCAAAATACGCCATCCGATGGCAGGGGAGGTGGAATTTCAATAATTCGGTCGTAATTTTGAACCTTGGCAGCAGCCCCACTTGACCTAGTACACATGGACGTCTGAGGCCCTGCCCCTGTTGCCGCACGAGGCGATTATCGCTATTTCCTTGCAATAGTTGATGACCACTCTCGCTACGTCTTTGTGCACCTCCTTCACACTAAGGCAAAGGCCTTTGAGGTCATCATAGCGTGGATCAATCTGGCACAGACCACCTTTGGCCGCACGGTCAAGCGCCTCCATTCAGATGGTGGTGGTGAATTCTGCAACGACAAGCTCAAAGCCTTCTGCTCCTCAAAGGGCATTCTGCAAAACTTCACCCTTCCTGACAGCCCGCAGCAGAACAGCATCGCAAAGAGCCGCAATCTCACGCTGGCACAAATCACCTGCTGCCTCCTTAGCCATTCCCAAGCACCACTCTCACTCTGGGGGTACGCCCTTTATCATGCCGCACTCCTCTACAACCTCTACCCCCACCCGCATCTCCCCGATACCACTCCCACCACACTCTGGCTCGGGAAAACACCCACTGCTCGCCCTCTTCGCGTCTGAAGGTGCACCGCCTATGTCCTCCTCAACCCCCAGGCTCGGCGGCGGCAAGGTGGCAAACTCGGCCCCAAGACTCAAACATGCATCTACCTTGGGCACAACGCCGACTCGCCTGACTACCTCTTCCTCAACCCCTCCAATCAACAGTTAGTCCGGAGCCGTGACGTTGTCTTTGATGAGACCCGCCCCTTCTACTCCACCTCGGGGGACGATCCCCCTTCCGGACCACCCTCTCTCGTGTGGGCTGACTTTGATGCACCTCCCGCGCTCCCGCCTGCACCAGCTGCTTCACCTCCTACCTCCCCTTCCATCGCACCCTCTCCCTCGGAGGTCTCTGACCCGACCTCACCGGTGTCATCGGCAGCTGCTCCCCCATCCCCCCCTTCTCCCACTCTCCCAACCGCGCCACCAGTACCAAGCGCACCAATCACATACCATCGGCGGTCGAACCCTCCGGCCCCACCTCCTCCCCCTGTTCCCCCCTCCACTCAGGAACCCGCTCCCCCACAACCGCCCGAACTGATCACGTACCAGCGACGGCCGATCCCTCCGCCCAAACCCCCTAAACCGACCCCTCCAGTGCCGCCCGCTCCACCCTCTTCTCCGGTGGCTCATGGCACTAGGTCGCATGGGGCTGCTCCTCCACTGGCACTTGCCATTTGATGCTCAGTGATCACTCCGACTCCTCCTGCTGGGGGGGATGTGCCTTTTACCCTTCTCGAAGACAGGCATGAGCCGTGTGATCTCCACGCTGTCACTCCTCAGCTCTCGCACATCTTCCCCGACATCAATGAATCACCGTCACTCAACTCCTCGGAGAATCCGACCATCCCCATCCCTCTCACCGTTCAAGAGGCTCTCTTGGGTCCCCATGCTGCCGAGTGGAGTGCTGCCATGGAAGCTGAGGGTGAAGCCTTCACTCGCAACCACTCTTTTGACGATGAAACTCCACCGCCAGAGTTAACATCGTTGGGGGCAAGTGGCTGTTTCGAGTGAAACAGCTTCCGGACGAGGCCCAGTGTTTAAAGCGCGCTACGTGGCCAAGGGATTCACTCAGCAATACTACTTTGACTTCTTCAAGACATTCTCTCCAACATCCAAACCTCCCACCGTTCGTACGCTCTTGGATGTAGCATCACGAGAAGACTTCGAGATCAAATCCATGGATGCCTCATCGGCCTTCCTGCAAGGACGCCTCAAGGAGATAGTGTTCATGGACTGACCTCAAGGCTTTCCAGGAGAGTTCCCCCCCAACACTGTCTGAAAGCTGAAACGCCTTGTTTACGGGCTCAAGCAAGCCCCTCGTGAATGGCACAACAAAGTGAAAGAAGTCCTTCTCTCATTGGACTTTCACCCATCGTCTGCTGACCCAACTCTCTACATCTGCCGTCACTCTGAGCCATTCTACATCCTTGTCTACGTCGATGACTTCATCCTCGCTGCCAAGGACCCGGCCCAGATGACCTCTGTCCAGGCAGCCCTGAGCAAGACCCTCCTAATGAAAGACCTCGGTGACCTCAAGCACTACATGGGGATGGAGATTACTCGCGATCGCCAGGCTCGCACCATCTTACTCTCCCAGGAGTTCTACATCAATAATGTGCTCAAGCGCTTTGGAATGGAGCTGTGCACACCTATGGCCACCCCACTGCCGCTGCAACACCTCCTCATCGCTCCAGCTGCACCCACACCAGAGGCATGCACTGAGCCATACCCAGAACAAGTTGGGTCCCTCATGTACGCCATGATGTGTACCCGGCCTGACCTGGCATACCCTGTCAATGTCCTCTCTCGATATGTGGCTCCTGGATGCTTCACTGACCTCCATTGGAAAGCGGCAAAGCGGGTGCTGTGTTATCTGCAGGGCACCAAGTCTCATATCCTCACCCTTGGTGGGCTTTCTCCTCCTCGCCTGGAAGATTACACAGACTCCTCCTGGGCTGATGACCAGACCGACCGACGCTTCTCCCAAGGCTACTGTTTCACCCTTGGGAGTGGAATTGTCAGGTGGCGCTCCACTCGGTCGTCAACAGCCTCCCTCTCCTCCGGTGAGGCCGAGCTCTACGCTGGCACCATGGCGGCTCAGGAGGCCTGCTAGCTCACTTTCCTACTCCAGGAGCTTGGCTACCCTCAGCCCACTCCCACGCTCTGGTGTGACAACAAGAGTACCATCCACCTGTCCCAGGATCCCGTGTATCACACTCGCACCAAGCACATCGAACTTCGGCACTTCTTCATCCGTGACCTTGTCCAGCGGGAGTAGCTCAGTGTGGAGTATGTGGCTTCTGACTGCAACTTGGCTGATCTGTTCACCAAGCCCTTTGGGAAGGTTCCTCACCATCGCCTCCTAGGCACCATGGGGCTCTGCGCTCCTCCTTCTCTGCCATGAGTTCGATTGACGACTATGGTGGGGTGTTAATGTTTAGCTCTCA